CCGGGATGAACCTCACCTCGGGCTCCTACGTCTTCTCCGTCGACAAGGGCACGGGCAACCTCACGCTCCGGTGGACCAGCGCCGCCACCACGGTCACCTACTTCAACAAGGGGTACAACACCTCCTTCACGGGGAACAGGACGCTGAGCGCGCCCACGCTCACGATGCAGACCAACGGCATCGTGTCCCTCACTGACGGCACCCTCACCTCCCCCGTCGTCGTCGCCTACAGCAGCAACTACGGCGAGAGCGGCGACATGATGCGGTTCGTGCGCCTCGACGAGGACGGCAACTTCCGCGCCTACAGCGCCGCCCGGGGCAGCAACGCCGCCACGGAGCAGTGGTCGGCGGTGGCGGACCAGTGCCAGGTGTTCGGCTACTGCGGCAACATGGGCGTGTGCAGCTACAACGGCACGGCGCCCGTGTGCGGGTGCCCGTCCCAGAACTTCCAGCTCACCGACCCTTCCAAGCCGCGCGGCGGGTGCACGCGCAAGGTCGACCTCAACAGCTGCCCCGGCAACTCCACCATGCTCCAGCTCGACAACACACAGTTCCTCACCTACCCGCCGGAGATCACCACGGAGCAGTTCTTCGTCGGCATCACCGCCTGCCGCCTCAACTGCCTCTCGGGAAGCTCCTGCGTCGCGTCCACCGCGCTCTCCGACGGCTCGGGCCTCTGCTTCCTCAAGGTCTCCAACTTCGTGAGCGGCTACCAGTCGGCCGCGCTGCCCAGCACGTCCTTCGTCAAGGTCTGCTCCCCGCCGTTGCCCAACCCGGTCCCGGGCAGCACTGCGGGCGCGAACTCGCGCGGCGGCCCCGGTATCCGCGCCTGGGTCGTCGCGGTCGTGGTCCTGGGCGTGGTGTCCGGTCTGGTGCTCTGCGAGTGGGCGCTGTGGTGGTTCCTGTGCCGGCACAGCCCCAAGTACGGTCCGGCGTCGGCGCAGTACGCGCTGCTGGAGTACGCGTCGGGTGCGCCCGTGCAGTTCTCGTACCGCGAGCTGCAGCGGTCCACCAAGGGGTTCAAGGAGAAGCTGGGCGCTGGGGGGTTCGGCGCCGTGTACCGCGGCGTACTGGCGAACCGGTCGGTGGTGGCGGTGAAGCAGCTGGAGGGCATCGAGCAGGGGGAGAAGCAGTTCCGGATGGAGGTGGCCACCATCAGCAGCACGCACCACCTCAACCTGGTCCGCCTCATCGGCTTCTGCTCCGAGGGCCGGCACCGGCTGCTGGTGTACGAGTTCATGAAGAACGGCTCGCTGGACGCGTTCCTCTTCGGTGACGGGAAGATGCCGTGGCCAACGCGGTTCGCCGTGGCCGTGGGCACGGCGCGGGGCATCACGTACCTGCACGAGGAGTGCCGCGACTGCATCGTGCACTGCGACATCAAGCCCGAGAACATCCTCCTGGACGAGCACTTCAACGCCAAGGTCTCCGACTTCGGGCTGGCCAAGCTGGTGAACCCCAAGGACCACCGCCACCGCACGCTCACCAGCGTGCGCGGCACCAGGGGTTACCTGGCGCCGGAGTGGCTGGCCAACCTGCCCATCACGGCCAAGTCCGACGTGTACAGCTACGGTATGGTGCTGCTGGAGACCGTCAGCGGCCGCCGCAACTTCGACGTGTCGGAGGAGACCGGGCGGAAGAAGTTCTCGGTGTGGGCGTACGAGGAGTACGAGAGGGGAAACCTCGCCGGCATCGTCGACAGGAGGCTTCCCGCGGAGGACCTCGACATGGCGCAGGTGGAGCGCGCGCTGCAGGTGAGCTTCTGGTGCATCCAGGAGCAGCCGGCGCAGCGCCCGTCCATGGGGAAGGTGGTGCAGATGCTGGAAGGGGTCATGGAGTTCGAGAGGCCGCCGCCCCCGAAGTCGTCCGACAGCTTCCTGAGCACCACCACGGCCACCAGCGGCGTCAGCTCCAGCTTGGTCTCGACGGTCGTTTCGTCGGGGGCCCCGGTCGCGCCCGCGCCATCGCCGAACCTGGAGCAGGAGATGGCGCTGGGCCGCTCCGAGTCGGCCAGGAACCGTGAACGCGTGTCGCGGCAGCTGCTGTCACCGCAGCCGTACATGACGATGTAAGGCGCGTCTGCGTCATCCTCATCCATCCATGGCAGAGATCATCATCCCGCGAAATGGATAGCAAAGTGAAGGCGCTGAGCTGAAACACGCAGGCAGGCAGAATGCCTGCTTCTGTCATCCATTCCTAGGAAGAGGAAAGTGTACAGATTTTTAGAGCGATTAGGGAAATGATGATGATTTGCTGAATTTGCTCTAAGCTCTAGCTGGCGAACCTTGGCGGCGGAACAAACTGATCTTTCGCTGGTATTGTGGCTTCCATATGCCAATACTATGTAATTGTAAGCATCAAATTCAGATTAAGCTTGATATTGAGCACTGCAGTTTGTACAAAATAACCGGCATGTTTTAGTATGGACTTCAGGTTTGTTTCAAAAACAGATGCAGTATTTTTTTTAAAAAAAATTTGTTTCCCTCATCAAGGGAAGTTCGGAGCAGCTCACACAGGCAAATAGATTGCATCATAAATAAATACATAATAATAATGCTGAGCTGTTAGAAGTCTCATGTCTTGTTAGGCAAGGAGATCCATCATTTTACAATAAAAACAACATAAAAAACTGTGGACAATTTCAAAATCAGACCAAACATCTTAATACATATGCAAAAAAAAATCACTATTAGCCCACCATTATTACAAGATTTAGCTTTTACGAATACTGTTGGTTTGATACGAATAATGGCATTGTTAGACCGACGGTCAGTACTGAATACTGTTGCACTTCTCCTTTTTGGTTTTCTAGAGAAAAACTGTTGCGGGTCTCCTGTGTTTCTCGTCTCACCAAGTCACCAGTCGCCACACTGCCGGAATTCTATGTTCTAGAACACGAAAGCGGGTTCAGATCGTCATTGGTTCATGAAAAAAATACTCATTACTTTGGTTTATGTGAGAGAAAAATATCGTTCCGACTAAAATTTATGATCGCTTCTTACAAGTCACAAATAAAACGAACAGTGAGGATCTTTCACCAAAACATCATGGTGATATTTAAATGTTGCTTCACAAGATCCGTAAACTATTCAACACATTTTTTACAATATTATTATGCTAAATTCTTGTGGCGTCTTTGTACACTTAATGTTTGGGTTATCACCCCTCAAGATACATGATTTATTTGTTAATTGGTCTAAGGCGCAGTGGTAACATACATAATTCATTGTTATTAACTCGCAACGCCACTTTTATGTTGGACAATCTGGTTAACGAAAACGGCGTAGTTTTGACAAATGCGCATCAAAAAACTTTTTTGCAGGTGCTATTTAGGGAACCCATTGGCTACGGCAATGGGCAAGGCTACAACGGCGTAATGATCTACGGGATCAGCTGATTCTTATTGGGCAGCATCTGGAGACATCAGCATTGCACTTCTTTAATTCCAATGGATGGTTATCGACTAGGTTTATTGGTCTTCGTTAGTCAGAACTTTACTTCCTGCTTTATTTTTCTAGTGTCTACTTGTAAGCTTGTGATCCCTGTGGATTATGTGCTGGTCGCTGTACCGAACTTTGTAATAATTGGTCTGATTCTACCCTGAGGTAGATAAAGCCGGATATAACCTGTAAAAAAAAATCTGTGCGGATCAATGCTATTGCATTCGTCAGATCCTTCGTGGAAGGGAAAGGTGAAGGCCTGCTGCATCTTGCGCCAAGCCGCCATCCCTGCCCTGCAATCGCAGCCGGGGAGGCAACTGCAAGTTGCAACACATGGCGCATGTGAGTCAGGCTCGTGCCGTCGTGCTGGGTATCGTTTAGCGTTCGGTACGATGGTACCGATGGATATATGATGACTGATGAGGGCAGAGCTGGTCTTGCAGTAGGCCTCTTGCTTTTCGGATCGAACCCTAATTCAGGGCTACGATCTGATTGGAACGTACTACTGCAAACTGCAAAGCCATCGGCCAAAGACCCACAGAGTGACAGTACGCGGGTGTGTTTAATTCAGATTCAGATAGGGAAAGAGTAGGTCTGGTGCATTTGGTAATTTCGGAGTCCTTCCTGTGCGCACGTGCTCCGAGAAATGCTGTCTCGCCCAACAAACAAACCGGAATCTTCAGTGCAAGCTCACCCAGTCCATGTCCATGGAGTCCGGTCATAACCAAGGCTGTTCGTTTCGCCATCCGTTTTTTTACTTATAATTCAAAGTTAACCCAACCGACAGAATTGGTTCCATAGTGTAGTGGTTAGCACTCCAGACTTTGAATCTGGCGACCTGGGTTCGAATCCCGGTGGGACCTTATAATTTTCCCTTTTTTTTTTGGTCTTTAAAATTAAGGTTCTAATTAGCTGGTTTCTCATACAGACCCGCCATGCTAATAGCCAAATTAGCCAAAAAAATTTGACACATTAAAAGTAACCCATCTTGCCAAGCAGCAACAGGGAATGTAAGCATGTAGCTGTGCCTGATTGAGACCAATGTAATGTAAAACGTGCCGACTGAAACTGTTTACTGGATGGTAACCTTCTCTTTTCCGTGTCAAAACAAATCCGTACTTTTCAGCTTATTTTTTTAGCTGAAACAGTGTTTTTCTCTCACAACAAATCAGCCGAAATAGTATTTCGACTTGTTTTTTCAGCGAAGCGAACGGGGCCGATCATCACTAACAAAGTTGGCGACCAACTTGTGAACATCACGGTTTAACCCAGCGGTGACCACCTGCTTTGAAAGGCAAGGCTGACTCAAACACGAAATCGCACACCCGTTCTGCGTTTAGTGGCTAGTCTTTGTCAAATCCACGGATCAATTTGACCGCAACAAAGCTGTTACTGTTAGTATAGTCAACAGTTCTAGATAGGGTTGGCCCGTGTACCGCGCTTTTCTGTACACAATTTGCGGCGTCTTTGTCGGAATGCTTCCAGAATCCAGATCACCTCCGAAGAAGGGAAAGAGTTAAGTTAACAATGAGAGAGCATATCTTTTTTTCAAAGCTTAATCTAGTATTCCACCCAGTTGACATCCAAATCCTTCAGCTTCAGGAGCCATTTCTGTGCATCTGGGGAAACATTGCCTTTATCAGGTTTCACCCCGTGCTTCTTTGCCATCTCAGATGGGGATTCAGACTGGCTCTCATCATCCAAGTCGCCTTGCCTTCTAGGACGTCTTAGTTTAAGAGAGAGAAGGCGTGAAACCTCCTGCACCCCACCCCATTTTTCCAATGCCCGAGCAATGTCGTAACGACCTACCAACAGAGCATGAAAATCATTTCAAAAGCCAGACAACAGGAGCATGTAATGATGGTATAAAGCTAAAGACATTTGTGCTAAAATGAATAAAACAGTAGCATGAAAGTGCCACAATACTTATTTTTTTCATTTTCCAACAATGGGCTACAGATATTACCTGCCCTCTCAAAAGATTTTCTACTTGGCATATAAGAAGGATCCATCCCCCAACTTTTCTGGAACCGGCTGATCTGTATATAGTGATCAGATACTGATGTCAAAAGTTGAAGAAAAATGTTGAATACAGCATATGATGTTATAAAATTCAATGGACAGAGTCACAGAGTGCTAGTTTTCATTCATACTCGAAATATAAGGGGACAAGTTTTAACTCTATTTGCAATATACGGTGCAAAACTATTCAGAGATTAAAAAACATGGTTATACCTGTATTCTTGTGCTAGAATGGATATTTGATAAGCACAGGAGGGAGCTAAAGATATATAGTATTATTACCTCTTCTTGCAAGTTCTCCAGATTATCCCAATAGCCTCTTGGTTTTCGATTTTTGTAAGAAAGAGAAAGGTTCATTATGCTGGCAATCTTCCGGAACCCACCCATTCGTGTTATTGCCTTCTCGATATCCACCCTTCCATGAGACCGGAGATGCTTTCTCTTAGGCATGAAACCATACTGACCATACTCTGCAATGAAATTCTCAAGCTCTGATTTTAGGACCTCAATGTCCTTTTGCAACCCTGGGACTTTTGGTCTCTGCTTCATGGTACTGGGTGAGCAAGACACAGATGCTTGCTCAGATTGCCTGCTTTCAGCATGATAAGCATCTGGGTCTATGGACACATCAGAATGAGCTGTGGAGTTGCTACCCTTGGCTCCAGCCTTTTCAATATAATCACGGATTGCACACAAGTTTGATGGAAGATCTTCATATATGACCTGTAACAGATTGATGAAAATGAATAGTCTGCTTTACTATCTCTAAAGACATTAAACTTTATCAAAGCATTCAGCTGAAATAACCATCAAGGCACCACATACAATTAATCCAAGTAAGAGCACGAAAAAATCGGCCTATTGTCAAAAGCAAGTAAAAAATGTCAGAAACCATGATAAAATTTTTTGGTGTCCTAACTCAAACAGAATGTATAACCTGGAAATTTGAAGAGCTGAAGATACAACATGACTTGTAAAACAAATCCTGTTAAAATACCTTCATGTTTGTAATTTGGATATTTGAGAGGCGTAAGCCACCAAGAAAATGGAAAACCGATCCCTGTTAGGTTCTTTAGAGATAATTAAGTTTAAACCAACCAAATACGAAAATTTAACTATAGTAAGCTTATACCATTTGAGAAGGCATGAAGTATATACCCATTACCATGCAAAGCACTTGTATAACCAAAACAGAATACAGTGTGCACATAAAAGCCTACTTTAACCATCTTAAGCTAACAAGTAAAATGTTATATGAATTAAAGAAAATGCATATATGGCTTACCTCTTCAAGGATAGACTCAGAGAGAAAGGTGTCCCTATGCATCTTAGTCTCAACCATGTACTTCAACAGGGTGTGCTGATCCCCAAGTTGTTCTAAGCGCCATTTCCCTTTAAACGAGTAAAAATCACCCTCAACTTGTTCAAACCTGATCTCTTGCTCAAATTTTTCACGAAGATCCATAACAACACGGGCATGAAGGACCATATACAGCAGGCCTTTGCAACCCTCCTAGAAAAACGATTTCAAAAGATATAATGCTTGAAAAAGAAAACAAAGACTATCAGATTGAATTTACAGAACTTTCTTTCAGATGAGCACAATGAAAACAATCGAGTGAACCGAAACCAGGACACATGAGAAAACTGTGTCTGATTTCATGACTTTTTTATGCTGTGTAGTAAAAACAAAGGACAACCTAAGCCAGGCCTACTTCATATGTTCTAGTAAAAACAGTTAACCACAAAATATGACAGAAGAGAACCACATATTCTACCTGCATTATGCGGACCTTGTTATTATCACGAAGAACAATCCTACTGATAGCCAGGTTTGGTACGAATCTATCAAATGATTTTTGTTAGATCATACCTTTAATAAAATAAGAATGTGAACTCAAAAGATTGTGGAAAGATAGAACTACTTACTCGGGCAAATTCTCATATGCCGTGAGAACATTCCATACCTCTCGAACTGGTGCTTTCACAGTGATACTAGCAAAAACACGCCTATGAGCCCCCTCATGTTCCTTCATGCACAACGTATCACAGGATACGACAAAACTTTAATGCCCTTCCCTTGATGGCTAAGAATCCAATAAGTAATGATATAAGTTTAGTAAATTACCAACATGCCATCAAATCTTCGAAGATGGATCTCATCTACCACGCAAGGCCTATCAATTCTGCATACGTTTCCATATACACCCCATTTGCTAATCAATTCAGAAGCAGGTGATGGAAGCACACTGCTAACACCAGAAGTGGGAGGTGCTTCTTTGAACTTACTAGAAGAAGTATCAACTGACGTACTATGTAATTTATCAAGCTGAGAAGAAGTAGATGATGGCTTCAAGTCCTCAACAGAGAATTTTCTCGAACCACAACTTTGATTTTCCAGATAAATCTTTTCAGCTCTACAAGCCAAGGCACCAAGATTTACAGGAAGATCAGACCTTATAATCTTTTCAAGAAATATAGCCGGGAAGTTAAATCTTGGTATCACATTAACTTCATACAGCAAAACTGCACTAGAGGACCTGCTAGCAGACAAAAACAAAATAGGGCGTATTAGACTTAATCTCTTCTTTCGCTCACAAGAAGTTGGAGAGCTAGTCTGGTGCATCATGGGGCTAGTGATGAACTTAAGCTGGATGTTCATCAAAAGAAAAGCAATAAATAAGGTAGTATACTAGTATATAAGATACATGTACTTATGTCTTTATTGATTTACCTCCCATCCCACTTATCTAAAAAAGGGCGTACCCAGCGCAGAGAGCTCCCGCTCTGTGCGGGGTCTGGGGAAGGGTGTCAGTGGCAAGCCTTACCCTCGCCTGTGCAATGCGAGGAGACCGCGACTTGAACCCGGGACCTTCCGGTCACAGGCGGTAAGACTCTACCGCTTGCACCAGGCCTGCCCATCCCACTTATCTGAGAAAAGAAAAATGATCATCAGATGCATACCTTGGACCAGATCTTATGGACCATTTTCCTTCAAACTTCTTGAAGTCACCATCTACCATCGAGAAATGGAGTTCCCGCCCATTAATCTGAAAGCATAATCATGAACGAATAATCAAGTAAGGCAATATAACTTAATATAGAATAGAAAATGGAGGAGATCCATCATCGTTTTTCAGATTTGCTAAATCTAACTCATACAACTAAGAAATATATCAGAGAGAAACACAATGGCGCAGCTCCACAGCAAGAAGAACAACACATGCTGAAAAAACACAATGACCATCCCTGGTTGCATTCACACTCTCATGGTGTCGGATACCACAAGAAGGGGTACCCTAAGCAAGATCCAAGAATATTGCTTAAGCCTTGCTAAAACCAAAGCCAAAAGACTACTGCAAGGTCTCGGCAGAATTCTCCGATTCGCCCGAGGCCTTGCGCCGAGGCCTCATGCGAAACAGGCCTAAAACGTCCCGCCGAGGCCCTCTCGCCGAGACCCTCTCACCAAAGCCTCGCCCCGAAAGGCCTCGGACGGATCTCCAATTCTCCGATTCGCTCGAGGCCGGGCTCGGCGGACGTACTCGTAACCTCCGTCCCGACCGAACTCCTGGCAAAACGTCACGTCCGGATTAAATGCACCCAACCACTCCCGCAAACGTCAGCCGCACGCAGGTACAGTGCGGGCAGAACAACTGACAGGACAGGGACCGGGCACAGCAGGGGTTACCTGCCACTATACTCACCACTGTGCTCCCCGACACTTATATCGCCTCATGCTACCTAACCCCTGCGCCAAGGACAAAGCGGCATGGAAGGTCGAGTCCATGTCCTCAGAGCCTCGGAAAGCAGCAGGAGAGCCCAGATGCTTCGGTCTCGCCTCGTCTGAGACCCCGGCAAGGCCTCTCGGACGCGCCTTTTCCTTCTCCGCTTCGGCCGAGGCCGGGCTCGTCCCCGCATTCTCGCCGCCTCGCCTCAATTGCCCTTCTGGCGGCGAGCCGTCCCATCCGTGTAAGTATCCCTAGTTACGCCTACGTCGCCCCACGATTGGCGGTATGGCAAAAAGGGCGATGGGACGACGGTCAAATCACCTTTTACCATCCCCTCGCGGCGGTGCGAGACTACGGCTCCTGCGGACGCCCATTCCACACTTTTCACACCGGAATCGGCACGACACAAAACCACCGAGACCCCTGCGTCACACAGTCACTTCCGAGGCCTCGACAAAGAAGGCCTCGGACGATCAACTCCAAAGACCCGCTAGGTCTCGGCACTCCACCAGACAAGAGTCCACCGAGCACGGCATGTCACCTACGAGTGGAGGCCATACCGACTAGACGTCAACAAGGACTCTTACGACTTCAACCTCGGGCATGGCTCGCGAGACGCACTGCGTGATCAAGTACCAATTGCCATTCCCGACCTTTGTCTTTGCTGAGAATAGGCCACAAGATTGGATCTTCCTTCCTCGCTAAGGCTCCACGTGTAGCTCTCTCATGTACTCCTGGCTCCCTCCTTGTGGCTATAAAAGGAAGCAGCCAGGGCCGTTTCTAGGGATCGGAAACCACGCCAGCCCTCACGCAAAAACGCACTCACTCAATTCACGCGCGCTCCCACGCTGCCTGAGAGCAACGACTCAAGCAGCCCGCACCATACCACGCCGAGACACGGGACTAGCTCCCTCTCTCCCCAACTTGTAACCCCTACTACAAGCACTTGGTGCAGAGAATACAAGATCGATCTCCTAGATCGGGCGTAGGGCGCGATTGCTCGAACCAAGATAAACCTTGTGTCTCTTTGCATCACCATCCGGGATTATGGGCACGCAGTTCACATTTACTGGTTGGTTGAGGACCCCCAGGTCCGAAACACCGACACATGGACTGGCCAACTGATCATCCACTAGTACTTTTCAGTGGCATTTCACATAATGACATAACATTGTCGGCGATGTCAAATGTTGGATACTCCAGAACTGTTCCATTGCAATTTAGCAGTTAATGGAAGTCAATCTGCGACAGCACGTACGGAGTCATGGATTTCCTGGAGATCCAACACGACGCGCGCCTCAATGTGCCAGTACAACGCTTGCTGCAGGCCTCTCTGCTCCAGCCATATCCGCCCTTCATGCGGGCACGGAATCGTCCCACTGCAAGCAAGCACGAACAAAACGACCCCAATTAGACACCTTCAGAAGTCCCCACCATCAGTGCAATCACAGTTCAGACGCGAGAAATCGAGACAAGAAAATGCGGACCTCTGGACGAGGTTGGGGATGAAGTCGGCGAGGCGCTCGTAGTCGGTGATGACCTGCCACAGGGTGTCGACGTCGGCGGCCACGGGCACGGACGCGAGCACCCGCCGCTCCCGCCACGACACCACGTCCACGTCGCACTTGACGCCGCGCGCCGACCCGGTGGGCCCGGCCTCCGACGCGCCCGCGCGTCCTCCGTGGTAGTGCTGGTGGTCGGCGCCCCAGTGGTCCCCGGTGGCGGCCGCGGCGGCGGCGGTGACGGAGCGCCGACCGGAAGGGGCCCGCGAGAGCGCGGCCGCCGCGGAACGGGGAGGCGCGCGCGCGCGAGGGCTAGGGCTCGGGATCCCCGGGAGGAAGGAGGCGGCGGGCGAGGCGAGAGCTCTCATCGCTCGCGCGCTCGAGTCGAGCCGGAGAGTGTACCTGGCCACTGGGAGTCGTGTTGTGCCTGCCGAGGAAGGAGAAGGAGACGCGCGCGGTGACCGGGGAGCCGTTCGCTGTCTCGAAGGACCGCCGGAGTCTCTGCCGAGTGGGACCTGCGGTATGGTCCCACATGTCGGTGGCGTGGCTTGGGTCGACGGCGACAAGCGATTGTTTCTGTTGCGACGGTGAGAGGCGAGTGGGGGATGTGTGGCGCTGGCGGGAAGGCGAGGAGGCACCGTAGCCACTCGTGGCGCGTGGGGGGCAGGTCCCACGTGTCAGTATTGGTTTAGTTGGATGAATCTTCTGTGGGGTCGGGATGTTAGTGTGCGGTCCCGGCTCCCGTGTGTGGAGAGCCGGCAGCGGGCCGACGTGGCCCGTCCCGCGCCTCCCGTGCGGCGAAATCTTGGTAGCTGCCAGCCTGGACCAGGCCCAGTCGCTGCTTAGCACGCATGGACGGACCGGACGGACATCGGGCGTAAAGAAGGCAACGGGCCAGATAGCCGATAGCCGACAGGTATTTATATACCAGGAGACGAGGATGGGATCATATTTTTACTCGTGGACATCTAAATGAGCAAGAATCCATCCCCGATAGATATAGCGGGTACGCGAACGTTTTCTGTTTACCTGTCCCCGTTACCCGTTGGGGAACCCGACTATTTGAGTTGTCATACGAGTATTAGGTCCAAAGAAGTTCAACATAGGTATTTTGGTCCAAATCTGAACAATCATATATATAGTTTGTGTGTTTTAGGAACCCTAGTTTAATTTTTCCCCACCGTCTCCGCTAGCAGCACACGCACGCCTGCCTCACGAGCGCTCGTGCCCCTCGCTTCCTCAGTTCGGTCCCTCTGCCACCTTTGCTCGTCCTCCTCTCAACCTCGCTCCTTCTCCTCGGCATCTCCGAGACTCCGACACTTATACCCGGGTGAAGAAGAAACATCTCCGATTGCAAAGCTGCGACCCCAAGTGTCCTTATTTATCGGGTATGCAGTACATGTCGGGTATCTGTTACCCAATCGATGCCCGACGGGTACGGGGATGTGTAAGAATCTATACCCGAGACAGTTAACGGAGACAGAGACAGAATAAATTTTCCGTAGCGGAAAAGAGAACATTCCGACGATACCGACGGGTACGTCCCGTTGCCATCCATAATCGGGCGGGGTCGTCCAGTTGCAGACATAACCGGCCAAATCCGGAGGCCCAGCCAAGCCAAATGGCGAGGAAATCCCGATCGTAGTCTCTATCTCTATTTGTTATAGCTGCTTCGTCAATTTCAAACTGTTTATGTCCGACATGGCGTGAAGCTGAAAATAGCAGCTTTTTTCCAGTTTCACCTGACACCAATGGACCCCATCGCGTGTGGATGGTTTATTTGCCCCCAGCAACCATGGGCCAGGGTAGGGGCACGCACGAGCGCGGACCCAGCGGACGCAAGCGCCGCCACGGGCCACAGATGCCGAGGCACGACCACTAAGGTTCGGGCAAGCAGTACCGCTGGGCTACGTACACTGGGGCGTGGGCGAGTGCTGCCACTAAGGCTCGGCCACCGAGCCGCGCTGCCGTCGGACCTCACTCGCTGGACCGCATTGTTGGCGTGGGCGTGTCTGTTGGGGCGCGAACGAGCTTAGTCGTCGGGGCACGCATGAGCTTAGCCCAATCGTCGTGGTGCAAAGAGATGCGTTGGGACGAAGAAGGAAAGAGGTCAGAGAAATAGGAGAGGAGGAGAAGAAAAGATAAAGTTATTTTAGACATTTTGTCATTTTTACCTACTAGGAGAAGCTATTTTGACAAACAACTAACATACGAGGTCCAACTCTATCGGTAGAGCTGCTCACTGAGCTGGCGCTGAAAAAAAAACCCTGGAGTACCAGGGACAGTTGTCTTCACCCTACCTCCCTACTGGAGTACTATGAGCCCGTTTGGCCGGGCTCCGAGCGGCTCCGGCTCCTCTGACTCCTTCCCTGTTCATCTCTTATAGCGGCACTGTTCACCAGAGCCGTTTTTCTCTCTCCTCCTTTCCTCTTTCACTGACAGCGTCGGAGCCGGAGAAGCTCGTTTTTTTTCTCCTCCGGCTCCAGCTCATGCGCGCTACAGTTACGCTACAGTGTGGGAACCAGAGCCGACGGGAGCCCGGCCAAACGCGTCCTATATATCCCAAGACTATGCTGTAGATGAGCAGCTCTCCTCCTTCGGCGCCGAGACCCAGCCACGTTGACTTGGAAACTTGGCATAGAGATATCTCTGCCTCTATCTCTCTCCTACGGTGCATAGGGCACATTCCCATGCACGAAAATAGGAATGAAATTAGGTTGGCCACTGTTTACTTATGGTGCCACGAGGAAATCTTGATTTTTTTTATTATAGAAATACAGTGCATGACATTTGAGGACTCCAAAATTATTCAAATGACACTATGACAACAAAAAACAAACAAATAGCTAGTGAACACTTAGCCGAGGAAAATTAAACCAACAAATAAAACCTATATTAGTTGTCGATCAATGGACGTGTGTCACTTCAATAATTATATATTATGTCATCAGTGCTAGAGGCGGAACCAACAATTTTGATTAAGGGGTCACACAAATATGATCATATTTTTTTAGTGTGATAAAATATACATTATTATATGTTTCAACAACTTTTTAAAATCTTTTACACTGTTTATAACCAAAACCATAATATTTTAATACAAAATGAGTGAAAATTGATATTTTTTGTGCTATAAATTCAAATATTTGTATAGGTATTATATGGAGTCTACTGTGCCTGCCCCCTGGTTCCGCCAATCACCAGTGCATCATCACATTAGCCGGTACCGATGAATTGAAAATCACAAATCGAACCTTTTATCTGTATTTAATGTAGAGTTCATATTATTTCTCACCATTGTTGACGACAATCCTTGTTCACCATTTGGTGGCACTTTGGGTTGCATATGGGGCAATTAGCCCTGCATTTATCCATTGTGTTTGTGTTATAACGCAACTCTTCTTCTTCTGGCCTTTTATATTCATTCAACACTAGCAGTCTGTCCAAGTCAAAGGTTTACCACACTTTGTCACATGGCAAAATACCAACACAATTTTGTTCTCATGTAATGTCATCGTGAAGTCGACCGATCTAGAATTATCGCTTGTTGTAGTAAGTGCAGCATGTTGTAACTGATAACGACGTGGTGCAATATATGAAGGTCATCAACATTTCACATAACAAAATATATAAAAATTATCATATGTTAAGACATATGAGCATTTGTGTCAAATTTGACGTGTTTCACAAGGAAAAAAATTAAGGCTTAATTTTATAGTCCATAGATGTTATATTACGCACGCATGTACGTCGGATACTGATCTAGGCATAGAAAAAGGTCGGGCATGTCAAATTAATTGTTGTGATACAAAGGAAATTCTAGAAAATTTTCAATTTCTAAAGAAGTGCAAACTTATCTTTGGTGTATAGTAGACAATAGCTAGGTTTTTAGTTTCACATAGGTTCTTACCATATGACCTTGTTTGTTTCAGTTTCACATCAAAATTCGGAGTTGTATTTTAATTATCTATCCTTCACGAAGACTCGTAATAGATGTTCCAAACATCATGATTGTATAGGTAACAATATAACACACACTAATATATATGTTATCGTCGTATTATGTTTTCTCGTTGCAACGCATAGACATTCACCTAGTATATATTAATTAATTATTGCTTGTCATGACGGGAAAACACACACATTTGGGCCTAATTAAGATGGAACTTCCAGAAAAATATATACTCTGTAGTAGAACAAAATAAACTGGGCTGCCACAAATTTGGGTCCAGATCGAAATCACGAGTTGAACCTTTTATTTTTACATATATATAATGTGTTATGACAACCCTCCTTCCGTTTGGCATGGGACAACTACGGTGGTGGGCACTTTGGGTTGCATACGGGGCAGTTAGCCCCGCATTTCTTCGTGGTGTCGTCATAGCACACCTCTTCTACCCCTTTTTTCATCGTGCAGCAATAGCAGTCTATCCATTTGAAAGCTGGACCGCACTTTGTCGCGCGGCAAAATATCAACACGACCTCGTTCCCATGTAATGTCGTTGTGATATCGACCGCTGTAGAATTATCACTTGTTGTGGTAAGGGAAGGTGGCCTGTTGTAACTGATAACGACCTGATACAATATATTAAGGTCATTAACACTTCACATAATAATAAATATATAAAATTATCATAGACATATGAGCATCGTATGTGTTAATTAAATTTAACGTGTGTTTCAAAGGGAAAAAAGATAATTCTAAATTTTACCGTCCATAAATATTATATTACGCATGCATGCATGTCGATTGGATACTGATCTAGACATAGAAAAAGGTCCAGCATGTCAAATTAATCGTGTTTTGTGATACTTGGGCCATGCGCCCATGCATAAAACTTTTTTTTGAAACAATATGACAGATTTTATTCAATCAAGATAGTTACATCGTTCCGATCTTATCACCTAGGGTCTAACCCAGGGTCGCCTTTTCCTCCCGACGGCGCCGCCGGACGGGGGTCCACAAACAACGCCGTGAGGATTAGCACTTGATCGCTGCTGTCTCTAGCAGATCCTGTGCGGGTCTTTGCGCAAAATCAATCACCCATGCATAAAACTTGGTGACACCTGAAGTTAATTACTCAATCTATATTTAGTTTTGCTTTGGTTTGAACAAAACCAACAGCAACAGGAGGGTACGCCGTCTGACTTGCCGTTCATCTTCAAACTAAGTGGGACAAATATTCCCTCCCATAACAAAGTTAAAATGACTTTAAAATTTGGAACAAGTAACAATAATAGAATTATAGAAAACAAGGACCAGTTGACTGAAAAGACTAACTAGCTAGTAGACCTATCTATTTACCCCTTGATGACGATTGTAGCTAGACTTACATTGCGCTACCGCTGCATGCTGGAGCATAATAAC